GCTGTTGTGAGAGATCCTGCATTCCAGGATAGATAGCTGAGATTCTTATCTTCTGTAAATTTCGAAGGCCGAGTCCTTCTGCCGGGATTGGTGGGCTTTACATGCCGGAGCAACTCCAAGCTCTGTTGACGACATCGTCTTTCCCTTGTAGACCGCACTACCTTCAAGCAGAGCTTTACGTGCTGCCCTTTAATAAGAGCGTTTACCCTTCCCTTTAGGAATTCACGGGCTGGTGCTTGGTCGAACCACTAGGCTGTTTCGCAGCACTCATGTTGAGTACGGCTCCTGTCGGCTTCGCAATACCGACAACCTTCACCTCTGGGAGATGTTAGAGAGCTGTAAATCTAATACTCCCTCCCGGACTTGGGACCGGGACCGCTCAGGCGCTGACAAATGCCATGGCGAGAAAGTAAAAAGGCACTGTACTAGCCTGACCTTTCCTGAGCCGAGAGGCTTCAGCGCAAACAACAACAACAACAACCACAATTCATTTGCAGTACCATACAACGGAGCGTCAGGCTCCAGGCCCGAAGCTTTTGAACGTTGAGCCGGACATACATTTAGACGTGAAAATGGTGCGGAAATATCGCAGTAGGTGTGTGCCGCAGACCCACAGGCACAAACAATAAGTGCAGAATGACGGTATAATACGGTATATTTCATCCCACAAGGAATGCTCAAATTCTCGCTCAACAAGCGGAATGCTGCCCATTCAAATTTGCACCCAGTCCTCAACAGCGTGGCAGTACCGTGATGCATGCAGGAAAATTTTGCCAAGCATGGCTGCCTTACACGAGCAGTATGCCGAAAGCTCCTCCCATCAGCAGGCATCCTCGACTGTACCACGGTGATGGTACAGCCGCGCATTCCTCGCAAAAGAGTTTCCAAGCATTGCGAGACATGAGCTGGATGTACATAACTGCGCTTCCACCTGCGAACAGCTTTCGGGTCACCTCCAGGCCCAATTCCGCACTGAGCAGGATGGGGGGTGCGCAAACGTGACATGCCATTCGCAATTTGATGCGTCCAAGGCTCCGTTGGACTCCACGCAGAACCAGCACACAAGTGAGACCAACCCGCACGTGCTGGATTTCAATACAAAACGGATGCCACGCCAACTCACCCAGAACCGCAGCACCAGGGGTGCCAAATGGCCACGCTAGCAAGCTGACGTAGTTTCTGATCCAGCTTCTTGCGGGAAGATTTGTCAAGGAAGTGCAAGCCGCACCCCGGTCGAGCGTGGCTCCGAGGTCACCGGCCCGGACTGACGTGCGCGGCAGCCTCCCACCTGCGACTCGCCGCTCGCCAGCGCCCATCTCGCACGCCACTGGAAAAGCTTGCTGTAGGCTCTGGAGGCTGCACTGGACGCTGGCGAACCTGTTGCTGCTGTCGGAAAAGAGCTCGGACCATTCGGACCTCGACCGGATGGCAGGGCTACAAACTCATTATTCAATATTCAAGTGCTCATCGGTTTTCGCTGCAAAACTTATGAAACATCGAGAAAGATACGACACCCAGGGTTCACTATGACGTGGATGCAAGCAAACATCCCTCACTACAGCCATTAGTGATCGCACCTGCTCTTGCGTGCAGGCTGAGGATGACAATCAGGAATAGCTGAGCGGCTGAGTGTTCGACGCATTTCGGCGCTTGGCCCGAGTTGACGGAATGTTCTGCTGAGCTGAACCGGTGCCGTGCTAGCAGCGTGCGTCATGAAATGGCCTGACAAACCTTTTGCGGTCAGCCACGGCAACGCGAAACGAAAGGAGATATACAGAACGAGCACATATGGGTCACATCACATCACACTAATTGGAGCCTTCCCAAAATGAGCGCTTGGCTTCGTATAGGCATCTGATGGTGGAATGGTCTCTGCAAAAAAAACTTTCCATCCTCGTCGCCAATGGCGCAGGAAGGGGGCAGCAGCGATGAGCGTGCACAAAGCTCCCACAGCAGCACCACATAAACAGGACTGGGTTTGCAGCTTGTCACGCGCAAGCGTCCATCCAAGATTGGGTGATGGCCACATCGCTCCAATGTCCACTCACGAAGTACGGAAGCGGGCACGCACGAGCTATGAACATTTGGACGGAGACACAAAGCGACACCGAGCTAAACCCTGGCGTAATGTTGCGTGCGACGTCGTTCAGGGACCAGTTGGTGTTCTAGCTCGTTTTAAGATCTTCGTTTTGCGGGCAAGCCAGACCACTGAGCGGACATGCCCGTGCATGGTTGCTGTAGGCAACAAGTTTGCTTCGCAGCCAGGCGGGCCACAATGGCGTCGGCGGATCCGTTTGGTTCTTTCCGCACACCCGTCCCACCGGCAGTCACAAACAATCCTAGTGCTGCAGCATGGTTCGTAGCGTGGCGGGATAATAACATCGCGGTCCCAGCTCGTGATGGGAGGAGTAAGCGACCAGCATCATAGACAGCAACACAATGTTTGGAGCAAACTTGTTGCCCTTGGGGTGGAGGTGGGCGGCTGGTGGGTGCAGTTACGAAAACGTTGGGTTTCCCGGGAGCTTGCCACAGCTCGTGCCCAGCCTTCCTCGATGTGGAGGCGGCTGGCACACCCCCGCGCTCGTGCGGCCGCACCGGCCGCAGACCACCTACGCCTGCGAAGCCTCCGAGCACCATGATGGGTAATGCTGCTCGAAGGCGACTCCGAAGCGCCTAGCGGGAGACGCGAACCTGGCATCGGACGACCGGGAAGGCCGCACGCGGCGGCGACGGCCATTGACAAACGCCGCATGCTCGAGATATATTTGCAAACATTGACCCTGCATCCCGAGCATGGCGAGCTACGCCTTCACAGAGTTACCAACGAATTTGGAAACCGAGCTGCCCGATGCAGAGTACCTTATCACCCCGCTGCGCCGGCTGAAGCTACCATTTCCGCTCACACCAGCGCACCAGCGCGAAAAAGTCAGGTGACTAAGTCCTGATCGTTTGCGAGATGCAACGAAGCCCTCGCGGAAGTGACGTCGATGCGCTTGGCTTCCAAGTCAAGGTGTTAGCCCGTGGTTCTGTTCCCCTTGGACGTGCAGCAGCTCTCGAGGCAGGAGCTTGGGTTGCCATGAATATGTCCTTGCGCAATCTTAACATCGACTTGCGGACGGGTGCAGGATCGCGGTCGTTCGAAAAAGAAGAAGGGTCTTCGCCAACAGCCTCTCGATTTTGGTAAAGTGCTCAGATCGCGGTCGACACCGCGATCGTCAGCCGCAAGCTGCGAGCGTACCCAAAACTACGCCACGCCCGCCGTTGCAAGCTGGGCGTCTTCGCGGGGTTGAATTTGGCGGGCGGTTTAGAGACGAGTCCGTCAACGACCATGTGTCATGGTCAGAGCGATTCAAAGCGTGAAACTTCTGTGCTTGCCAATTCATTCATGGCAGCAATTCACAAGGAGCAATAACCAATGTGAAAAGGCAAAAGTAACGTGAGCATCACTTCAATGAAGCATTGGCAAGTTCTATCTGCGAGGTGAACAATTTGTATAACTACACAGCATACAAAGGCGGCACTGACTGGTTTAGCAGTTTAGCCGAAACACCTTGACCTTTTTGCGCTTTCTTAAGCGCGCCCGCGCGCCAACGCACACCCTGGCTGGTGGGCTACAGCGGCCCGCCAAGCCATGGTACACCGCTCGACCACCCAGGTGCTGGAGCTGAACCTGTGGACCCACTAGACGGGCAAAGATTTCGCTCTAGGGAAGCTCCCTGCGGGTGCATGGACTACCACGGTAAACCCAGTCGTACAAATAGCTGCGAGAAGACAAGAAGCAGATTTCCAGCGAGTACAAAGGTGCGAGAGGAAAATAAATTTCCTCAATTATGTGTGCCGCTGCCGGCCGGCCCTTTGAGACCTAACATGGCTATCCCGCTCATGGCGAAGCGGCATGTGCATGTATCAGCGAAGACCAAGGTCGGGGCTGAAGTGCTGGCAGGGCATGAGCCTAGGCGGCCCAGTAGGCGGCTAGCGCTGTCTGTGTTGCGGATACCTAAATACAAGCCAATGCCAATAGTGCCATGTAGCTGACCGCAGAGGAGCAGTACGAAAGTTTCGACAGGGAGTAGCTCCGACGCGCGGCACGGCACAGTATGCGCAATGCCGATGAGTCCGCTCAGATCCCGCTAAGCAATGCATAGATATGATATGCATGCATAAATTTTTTTTACCAAACAGACTCGGAGTTTATATTTTGTGCTGACCTTACATTTGCGTTTCGTGCTTTGGTATTGGCGCAAGCTAGGATCTTGGTTGCATCCGCCTTCCACATCTTCCTCATGTGCGACAAGGTTTCGTACCGAGCGCAGTACGCGTTCGTACACAATTACAATTTCTTCCGCTGCGACTCCTGTGGTTGCCCCTCGTGCTCACACCGTGCAGGTGCCACCTTAGATTGATGTCGGTGCCCTGCGTCCGGCTCGCAGACATTGACCTCGATCGTGGGCGCCAACATCATTTTCCCGCGCACGTAGCGAGGTGATTCCAAGGAACAGACGTCTGACCAGGGTCGGACATTGCGGCCGCAGCTCGCGGCAAATTCCGTCAGCCGTGCCCGTGCCCGGAGCTCGGCGTTGAAACTGCTCAACACGAGGCTCGCAACTACGGGGCCTCGCTCCTCGAGCTGCCACCGTGCTCAGCAACCCCAGAGCTGCGTTTACCGATTTGCAAACCGGCGCATAAAACATGAGGACAGTGCACACCACGTCCGGCCACAGACTTGCATTTCGGAAGGCCTGATACGGCGCCCGGATCTTGCAACGATGTGGAAACACATACCAACCTCCGCATTTACAGCTCATGGCATGGTGGTGATGACGCAGAAGGTTGTGTAGTGTCCAGCGACAAGGTATGCAGAATATCGTGATGTCCTAACCACGCGCGGTCGACAAGGCAATAATGCGAGAATATGCGAACACAGATCGACTACCACCAGCACAAGCGATCAACCCAGTTGGTGCAAGCCGCTCCAGAAACAAACACGCCACATCGTAAACATGCTGCTATGGGGATCCTTGCTTCTTCTGTTAGTGGTGGAGCGAGTGGCCAGGGGCTTGTATGGTCTTGCGCACACGCATGTCATGTTGTATAGCCAACGATATTTGCCAAGATTCGGAACCATTCCAGGTCGATGCATGGGATGTGTCCCGGGCCCAGTGGTCATCAGCCAGCACGAACGATCTGGTATCACAAGTGGTGTACCGCTGCAGGAACGGGGCATGGCAGCTTTGCATCGGCGTGGTGTGCCGAAGCTCGATACTTGTGAAGGGCAAGCACGGGACGCACGTCGGCTACGTATCCGATAGTGTCGGGCCATGCTCGGGAGCTATCGAGGTCGACCCCTTGATGTTTCCAGCGATCCGGATCGTTGCTCGGAGTTCGACAGACGAAAGTCCGCAGCTCAGGTTGCGCCAGACAGTTGCTGGCACAATAACAAGCACCAGGTAACGACCCTACGACGTCCATTGGTGCGTGAAGCAGTAACTTCGGTCCGCTAATTGGTCGGTTGCTGGTCGCATGCATGGTGTCGCTCGGGTTTCTCCAAAAGTTACTGCTTTTGCCATGTGGGATTCCGATTGCTCGGATTCACCAAGCCTTCACTGCTTCTGAGGTTTGCTGTCAGCTCCGGTGCGCTGTGCCTCAGTCAGGTGCAGTTTGTGGACGGTGTTTTTTTATCAAAGCTGTGACAAAGACCAGTTGTGTTGGTGGCATTGTTTGGCTTATGCGGCGACTGCGCATGGGAACGCCGTTCTTCAGCAATCACAATCGCAATGCCTAGCGACCCAAGTGTCAGGGGAGCTGCAAGCGGAAATGTTCGGAGCGTGCTGACTGTCACCATGTGCAAACGTCCCGGCCTCGGAAAACGCTATCCAATGGTAGTTCTCAATTTGATGCTGTTTTTAACAGCTCCTAATCCAAGCAGAGGTTTATTTGCCATGAATGGCCATGAATCAACGACAGCAGTGGTGCGTGATTTTCTTTGTCTGCACACGTTTGCAGACATAGTTGCCTTAAGGTACGTTAACGAAGAAGTCTGCTACTTGAAGCCGCTTGCTTGCGAAGCAGATGATCACTGGCTGCAACCTCAAGGGGCCGAGCTTAGTGTCGGTCAGTTTGGGTTTTTCGTGCCCCTTCCACTTTTGCAGGTATGCAGACCAGGAGTATTTTGCATTTGCCCGGCTCCCAGCTATGTATCGCTGGTATTCTAGCAGTGTCTACCTGTCCGTTCATTTGGCGCCCCGTGCTTCAGAGCAGCAGAGAGGCTTGTGTGGCTCGTGACCCAAGTCTGAATGGTAGCCTCACCACGGCATGCTTGTGATGCAGGGCTTGCCGTCCACTTAGATTTGTGGCAGGTTTGAAAAAACAAGGAACGGCTTAGGGTTGAACGGTTGTGCGAAGAGCTTCGGGTTTCGAGAGACGGCCAGGTGAAGTCAGACCTGACCGTTGGCTGCCCTGCACAGAGCTCAGTTGCACCCCTTTCGCATAAGAAGGCGAAGCTCTATCCTCTCAATAGTCAGCATGCCTTCATCGTGAGCAGCAGAAATCAAACTTTGCCATGCAAGTCACGAAAATGAGGAGATTGCCAGGAGCCCCGAACTCTACACCCTACATCCTGGCCTCGAGTGCACGGGCCGGAACCTTCAACCCGAAACTTCAACGCTTCATTCTGAATGCAGAGTGGAGAAAACCAAAACTTGCGTTTCTAATCCCACGCCGCGGGTTCCTGCTAACCACTGAACCTGAAGCCTGAGCCGCCTTAAAATGCCAAATAAACCGCAGCTCCCCGGCTTCAAGTCCTAGGCCCCAAAGCATCCAAAGCCCCAGATCCGAATCACAAAAATCCCATCGGTTTTAAAGCGTAAACCCATCGGATATCCCAGAATCCCAAAGCCGTAGACCCTTAACCTTACTTGCAGAGGAGTAGGGTGATCACCTTTGCAAGTGAACTTTACTTGGTGGTTCCATGGTAGTTATAAGTTGGGCCATACGTTATAACTATATCTATGCTCCTTCAAACCTGACTGTATGTATAACTACCCATAGGCTTCTTCATTATACAAATTATAGAATATTGACGTTGTTCGAGTTACTAAGGCCCTAAAGCTCTGCGTCCGCCCAGGAGCAGCCGCTGTCCAGGCCTCCGAGCACTCTCGCGACCACGGCTGCCCCTTTGGCCCAGCGGGACGGAGAAGAGTTGGGATCCCCGGGCCCGGGAGGTTTTGTGGGGGTTTACGTGTGTTTCTTTAGGTAGGGGAGCTGAATACAGAGTCAGCGGACTGGTAGTATATGCTTGCAAAGTCAACCCGAACTGACCCATTGTGTCTTACAGGATTGTGGGGTTTTGAGGGGTTTTGAGGAGGCGTTTTGAGGGGTTTGGGCTTTGGGGTTGTGGGGTTTAGGGGTAAGAGGTAATTGGGTTTTGACCAGGGGTGGCGGCTCCATTAGCGCTGTGGTTTTGTGTTCGGGCGGGCCGAGACGTTTTTTGTGGAACGAATTCATGGTTTAGGGTTTAGGGTTTAGGGGGGCTCTTGCTGTAACCGGGCTGCTGGACAACGAGGCCTGCTGCAAAAAAGGGTTTATGGTTTTACGCATGAGTGATGCTGCAAGGTTTGGATGCTTGAATGTGGAATCGACATTCCGCGGCCATGGGATGTTTCTCAAGTGTGTCTGGCGCAGGACAGGCCTAACGACGCGGAAACCCGATTCACGTGGCAGTTGAACGCCGAGACCTGGGAACTTGCTCGTCCCACACAGCCAGCCCTTTTTGGCATCAGGACTTTCACAAAAAACCCATTCAAAGACCTGACAAAACAGCCAAACATCCACTTCATTAGAGCCCAGATGCGGTGAGATAACATGTAAGGCATATTGAAAAGTTAAAGCAATGACTGTTAGTGAATGTTTCGCAACAAAATGCAGTATCAGTATCTATCTATGCGTACTTCCGCGTGTGTTTTTCTCTTTGCCTGCACCGAAATTCTGCAAGCTTTTCATTCATCACTGTGCATGTATGTCTCTTTGTTGCCTATGTGTTCGCCAATCTGTATTCTGTATGTTTGTTTACACATTTCTGTTTCTTCGATCGGTCTACCCTTGATTATCCATCGACTGGCGCCTGCACAGGAACTGCATATCTGCCTTCTCTCCGTATGTGTTTATGGATAGGTCTAGACACACACACACATATATATATAGATATGTATACATATGCATCTACGCATACGTACATGCATATACATTTCCGTCATACTCTTGTTTGCATATACGTATACATATGCGTTGCATCTGCCGCCACATGTACATACTCATTTACATAAGCATGTGCATAAACATATTTGCACCATACACGTGCTTGTACCTGCACGTGCGCACACACACACACACACGAACACTGTCAGGTTGGTGGTATTCCACACACCGTCTCCACTCGCCATCCCGGCTGTGCTGCCCTCGTCGTGGCTAAGCTTTTGGGAAATAAAGTGGGGTCTTAGAAAAAATTGGGTTGCTGCCTACGGGTCCATGGTACGCTTGCAATATGCAGGGTTTATACAAGGGCCGATTGCTTTCCGACAGTCATATGTAGAAGTTGAAGATGGGCCCAGTAGTAGTCTGGGAGCCTCTGGTTCTACAGTCGGGGGCAGCCGCAGCTCGAGGTGCATGTTCCTCGAGCGACAGCAGGCTTGATGTTGGTTTACGTCTGTGGGCTAAACGTTTAGGCCAGCTGGGTTTAGGGTTGAGCTGCTCCTCGTGCTCGGCTTGGGAATTGGTGGCCGCTAGCGGCCTGATGCATCAGCAGGTAGCTTGAGAGAGAACATGAGAGATTTGAATGTGGATACCAAAGAGCAGGATCCCAGTTACACCCCCAAAAGAAGGTATTCCCTGCGTACTCCCTCTTGCAGAAGTGTTAGTCGCCCACGAGAGACAAAGTTTCGGGTTTTGAGAAAACCCTAAACCCGAAACCCCTAAAAGCCCTTGCTGTGAGGCTTCGCAGGAGACAGAGTGGCGGCCTCGGGTGTGTGCAGAGGTTCCCTAAATCCCAGTTTACCCTATTTGGCAGCTCCTACAATAAATATTCCCTAAGACTCCATGTACCTTTATAGTAGATACTTGCGCCTCAAAGGGGTTCCTATATAAGGCCGAAGTATAATATACTATAAGGGTACATGGAGCCTTAGGGATTGGGTTTCCGAGCCCCAAGTCGAGTCCCTGTTGAAGGCTTTGGCAGGTTCTGGGTGTGAACACGGGCAGTTCTTCTCCGGGATCGAGTGCCCTTTTGGAGTCTCCCATCTGGTGAACATGCCTGAACCCATATTTGGTTCATGGATAGGTATGTGCGGGAATATAAGTCCCGTGTCATAAATATAGTCATCCTACACATCGCCGGACTTATAACTAAGCATGAACCTCCAAGCGTTTTACATGCACCCCGCCTGTCAGAACCTTCGTCCACCCACGCCCAACTCATTCGCTCGCTGCCAAATTGGAGCTGAAGTCTAGCCAAGGCCCGTGACGCTCAGCTTCCACACCCCTGCGCCGATCGTGGCTGTGGCCCCAGCTGCCTTGGGAGGAGCGCTGGAAGTTGGAACTCAACCCGAAACCGAAAAGCACCAAGCAATGCAAGAGGCATGCTGTGTCTGCTTCAGGTTCGAGGCGCACTCCCGTAGAGCAGTTGGCAAGGGAGTGCCACGTGAACGGGGGCCCGAGCTATATACAGCATTAGATGCCTCAGGAATTCGATGGATCTGCACTGAAAGACCACTTCTAGAATCCTTGCGAAATACTCTCTAAACCCTAAGCAAGAAGCCCCTAAACCCTTACCCCAAAACCTAAACCCTAAACCCCAAACCCGAAAACCCCGAAGCTCTAAACCTTAAAGGAATCCTTAAAACCACTCTTCTAGGTCCAACTTGGAGGTTCATGGGTACTTATAAGTGGGGTTATAAGTCCGTTAATATCAGTTTTAAGTTATAACTTTAGTTATCCTACTTATAGCCCTACTTATAGCTACCCTAAACCCTACCTAAACCCTACAGAACCCTGAAAGGAGCCCTATAGACCCCTTATAACCCTGCTTCTAACTACCCATGAACCTCCAAGTAGACCCTAAACCCTAAGCCCTATGCCCTTATATAGATCCCTTCAAAGGGACCCTTAAAGGAAGAGACCTGAAGCCCGTCGTCTGAGGCGCCCCCCACGGCGAGGTCCTCCTGGTCTCACCGGGAGCCTCCGGTCCCGCAGGAGCTGGCAGCCCAGATCGTCAAGCTTGCCCTTGCTTGCAGGAATATACCATAATGTACCGTAACATGCCATAATGTATCATAATATGCCATAACATACCGTAACACACGGTTATATACCATCATCTACGAACCTACACCATAAACTATACTAGAGCATACATTAAAATATCGTATTTTATGCCATAATGGTCTTCCGTCTGCACCCTAAACGCCGAACCCCATCCTGTTTCACGCCAAGTAGGTCCTGTCCAGCGCGAGATGCCAGGCCAGGTTTCAGGTAGCTGAATCCCAGATCTAGGGTTCTCGATAGCCGAATAAGAAGGTACACAAGCCACTGTCAGCCACTGCCAGTCGAGGCCTGTGAAGCTCAGCTTCCACACTCCTGCACCGATGGTCGCTCCGATCTTAGCCACATCACGGGGGACAGCCGAAAGGGAGATCTTAAGCCGAGAAGGCTTTTGCCGCAGCTTTGTTCTGCCCTTACTTGGAGGTGCATGAGAAGTCATAAGTAGGGTTAAAAATTTTTCAGTATTAGTCATAAATCAGGCTTGTCCCACATAGAACCCTCCTGCAGATTACCCTAAACCCTAAACCCTAAACCTCCGAGTACGAAGTTCCTTCGGAGCCTCGGCGCTCCTCCGAGGCGCCGTCCGCCGCAGCAAAGTCCTCGTGGCCTCACGGGAGGGCCCCGCAGGAGCCAGTGCCTCAGAGGGTTTAGAGGTTGTAGGGGGTTTGGGGTTTACGGTTTAGGGTTTGGGGTTTAGGGTCTAGGTCTCATCTTGTCCAGTTTCAAAAGGGTCTAGATTTGGGATTTAGGGTTTAGGGTTTAGGAATCAAGAGCCTGGGAGGCCTGGAGATGAGGGTTATTTGGGCATAGTGTAGGGGTTCGGCATTCAGAGGTGGAAGCAAGGCGGCAACAGCCCGAGAGACGAGCTCAAGCAGAAAGGGTCTTTGGGCATGGGCGGAGGTTTTGCCGAATTGGAGGTTTTGGGTTCAGGGGTTCTGGATGCAAAAGGGCTTCGCAAGTCGGCAGCGCAAAGCCGTGCTCCAGCAAGGATTAAGGCCCCCCTAGCTTCGACCTCAGAGGTCCTGCTGACAGCAGGAGGGAACTGCAGCTTTTGACTCGCGTTTCGCGCTCACAAGAGCGCCGCCCATGGCCAAGGATGGCTCAAGCCCCCAAATCAAATCGTGAGTTTCTAAAGGATCAATGGAAGCATAGCAGGGGATTTGGGGTCACGAAGGCAAGGTCGCACCTGAATCGAGGCATTTGCAGTAACCCTAAACCGTAAACCCTAAAGCCTAAACCCTAAGCCTCCCTTAGTCCGAGTATCCCATGCGACTTGGGCTGCCCGTTCCTCGGCAGCCTCGACTACGGAGCCCACAGGCCCTGAGCTTAGCGCCTAAGAGGGCTCGGGCCGGGCCCCTTCGCCTAGCGCCCTTTGTGGGCATGGCCTGGGGTGGCTGGAGCGGCTGGCAGGGCGGCTGGGGAGGAGGAGCTGGGGAAGTTTGTGGGTCCCTTTTTTGCTGCAGCAGCCCTCTTTTTAAAGGCCGCCGCCAGTTTTGAGTATCCATAAAGACCCCAAATCGGGCCAAGAGGGTGAGAGGCGAAGCTTCAAAGACCTGAAGAGCAACGCCAGGAGGATGGGACCGAGGGTCGTGGCAGTCGAACGCTTACTCGAGCTCATCCAGAGGGCGTGGGAAAGGTGGTGGCAAAGGCGGTGGCAAAGGCGGCGGCAACAAGCCCTACTGGAGGCAGTGCGTTTTTTTTTTTTTTGTGCGTTTTAGGGCTGAAGGTTTGGTTTTGTGTTTTGGGTTTAGGCTCAAAGGACGGAGAAAACCGGCAAAGCAGGTCAGGTCACCAATTCGTAGCCAGTACAGTAAGTATTCGGTGGTGGAAATCACAGTCGCCAGTCGTCTCGATTGCTTCCTGCAACGTGGCTTGTTGCATACCATCAACCACGCTACAGCAAATACATGGTTGACCGTAGATGAACCAGCAAGATAGGTAAGCACGCAGGCAACTTGAGCAAATGGAATGAGCTTCTGAAGATGCAACAGACCAAGTCTTACGCAAGTAACTAGTACCGGAAAGCAGCGCTGAACCTGTCAACGTTATCGAGCCGATCAGCGAATACTTCAAAGCAGCCACAGTGCAGCACTGGCCTCGAGGGTGATGGACCTAGAACCGTGTGGTTCAGTTTTCTCACGCATGCTGGGCATCGGACAGGCGGCGTGAGTAGAGAGAGGGAGAGAGACAGAGAGAGAGAGCCCCGTACTTCTCTGTCTGTGCTGAAGAAGAAAGTAGCCCTGACAGCGAAACCCTAAACCCAGAGCCTTAAAAAACCCGTTGAAGAAACCCTGCGACCCTTCAACTTTCAACGCAAAGCTGGAGGCAGTTCGTCGATCCGTCTGATGATCCGGAAGTGGTGGCCTGGTACTTCGCTACAAAAATATGCGAAAAGGGTTGTCTTGTCGGTTTACAAAGGTGTTTTTAGGTTTCTTTTTTTTTCGGGGTGTTGGGGTATCGGTATATTGTATACGGACTAAACCCTAAGCCTAGGCCCTAAGCCCTAGACCCTAAACCCTAAACCGCATAGGTAGGGACTCTAAGGTGCCGGGAGCGCATCCAGCAGTTTCTGGACAGTGGCCAGGGGCAGCAGGACGCCGATGGGCTTTGGAAGGGCTTTCAGAAGGCCTCATGAGAGTTTCCTTCAGGGCGTGACTTGGATGTTTAGGAAGCCTTAACCAGAAAGGTTTACGGGGCGCTCATAATAGCTGAAGTCGGGCTTATGGGCTTTCTTCATGTTAATCATATTGTTGAGTGCGGTCCATGGAGTTTAGGTCTCGGATGTCGGACGTTTGTGTCTGGGTGCGACTTTGCAGGGACACTTTCTGGGAGGTTGGCTGAAGCCGTCGACCGACCAGACCACTAATCCTGCCGAGAATTCGTTTCAAGTGCAAGTGCCGAAATCTTGCAACCCTAGTTTGGCTGAACGGTGCGTGCATGTCTCCAGGAAACGTTGATTTTGTAGTCTTGCAGATGCGTATGCAAACAGCGCCTAAACCCTAAACCCTAAGCCCCAAACCCTAAACCCTAACCGTGGCGGTGACAGCTCCAGGCTTAACGGACCCGTGGCACTGGGACCATGACGGCAAATCAGCTTTCCGCATGTGGTTGCTGTTGGACATGGGGTTTCTGAGTGGATCACCTGAAAAGACGAGCACGCTGCCGTCCCAAGACCCAAAGTTGAAGCTATCAGAAGAGAGCCTGCAACACTCTTAATGTGAGCGTGCGAGTCGAAACCGAGAACCTTAAACTTCAAGCCTTAAACCCCGAAGCCCGAAACCCCCTCTCCCCCCCTTCAAGGTCCCTTTTAAGCCCGAAATGAAGGAGGTGGAGTGGCTGGGAAACACCTACCGAAACACCATCCGCAGCCTTGCTCCAGAGATGGGAGCCAGCTGGCTGAAGGCTCGGAGAGTGCAAACGCTATGGGGAAAATCATGAGTTCCGCATGTCGACCTCGCTGAGGCGCTACAAATGCGTTGGAATTTATAGCTTATGTCACCTGTCAGCCCTAAATCACCTTAAGCCCTAAACCCTTCTTGAAGACCCCTGCTAGATGGAGTAAACCATACTAGACTTAGAGCCTTGGACCCCTGTAACCTCGCAGCCCCTGAGCCCCTAGAAAGACCGCAATCCCTGCGCGAGGTGTCCAAGGGCGTCTACGCCCTTGCCCGGCCCCTGAACTCGGAAAGGAGCCCGGCGCAGCTCCGCGCCGACCTTGTCGCTGAGGTGAAGCGGCCACTCGGTGGTCAAAAGGTTTTCTGGGTTTCAGGGTTTCCAGTTCACTGTTTGATTGGCGTGGCTTTTGTCCCGTGCAAAGCGCAGATACAAGTCTTTCCCGGTAGAGTCCGGACGCAAAAGGGTTTCAGGATTTTGGCGGGCTTGGGTCGGTGTTAGGGTGAGCTGCTGGGGTTGAAGCTTGTTTAGTAATGGGGCTTTGGGCTTTGGGGTTGTTGGGATTAGAGAGAGGTTTTTGGGAGTTGTACCGCTTGCGTATGGCGCTCCCATTTAGTTCTATCAAATTATCGGGTGTCTATGTAGAGTTTCTCTGGAGTCTTGCCGACATTCTGCGATGCCCTGGTCCAGTTCAAGCTTGTTTTGACACCGGGTTCGGGCAAAAGGATGCAAGTTTCATGTCATGGTCTGATTCAGGCTTCAGGGCTCAGTGATAAGCGCAAATAGACTGAATAGCAGGTTTGCAACGTCTGAGGGTCTTGGGTTCTTGGGACATCTTGGGATTTTGGCATTAGGGTCAGCCGGTTTTGTGTTCACTCCTTACGAATGCTGGCAACCGTCCGGGCAGCTACCGCAACATACCGCAACGTACCGCAAGCAGCAGCAACGGCAGCAACGGCAGCAGCAACAACAGAGACATCCACCACGCAACAATCGTAGTTGAAGAGCTAAGCCTAAACCCCAGACTCTAAACTTCAGGGTTGAGGGTTCAACTCTAAACTTCAGGGTTGAGGGTTTAGGGTCCCGAACTTTAAACCCTAAGCCGCAACCCAGGATTTGCGCCGCTGCGGGAGGCCGCTGCACCCCGAACTACGTCTTGAGAAACCTGCCGACGGATCTCTGGGTCTCCGCGAATGCGTCTTTGAAGCTGACAAAGATTAAGCGCCTCCCAGAGATTTGCCAGAAGGACCTATCGGGATACTGGGTTTTTTGGGTTCAGGGCAAAGTGGTCTCAGTTCCGGGTTGAGGGTTTAGGGCTGTTGCCTTTCACCTTCCCCGGCCGACTTCCCAAGCCTGGATGCAAAAAAAGGGCTGGGGGAGGGGTGAGTGTTTCAGGAGAAATTATGCTTCTGTGAGAGTTCGGGACACAGGAGTTTGAGAAAGCTGGCATGCGGGCCAGTGCGACTTGCCACATGTTCTATTCCTCGCCCTCGGCGGATACGGACGACTACGACGATGCCTTGTTCGCTCAGTTCGACGCTTCCTGGCTTTGTTTGGGTTTATGGTGTGGGGTTTAGGGTTTAGGGCTTTTCAGCTTTGGCCAGCCTTGGCTTGTATTCCTCCACTGACAGCTGACATTGATGCCAGGGTTTGTCAGATGTCGTTGAGAAAGCAAAGGTGTCGAACAGAGAACCCGAAACGGTCGTAGATTTAGTAGTCGCAAAGCAAGATTCCCAAATCCTTGCATGTAGGGACTATGGGAGTTTCTGTTGGCCCTTCTGACCTATGATGCCTAGAGACTCCAATATCACTTAATCAAGGAATATTCCTTAAATTATGATTCAAGGAATGCGCATTAGTTACGGGATATTGCAGTTCCCCCCAAACCCCAAAAAAGAACCCACCAAAAAACACCTGGGCCCCCCAAGGCCTCGAACCCCTGAGGCAAAGACTAGAAAAGACTAAGATGATTAACAAGACTTGGGGCACTATGAAGACTAAGAGCAATGAGAAGAATGAGATAACTAAAGAATAAGAAGACTGAGAAGAATAGCAAGACTACTATAAAATACGCACTTGAATAGAACTTTCACTTGAATAGAACTTTCATAGGAACCTGCATAGGAACCCTCATAGGGATCCTTAAAGGAACCTTCGTAAGAAAAGGGACCCGAATCGGAGGCCTCGCACTTGCAAGCCGCGTGCGGGTCTTTGGAGGCTGGTCTACGGCAGCTGT